TTTAGGGGGAAGAAGGAAACATTTTTTTTTTTTAATTGGCTTATACCAGTCTCCTTACTCTATAGTTCTCAGTTTTCTTGTGTTAGGGGATAAATATCAATAAAATTTCATCTTACCAGATTGCACCAGCTTTGTCCTACACGTTGGAATTTTATTTTTGGCTTTTAAAATCAGAAACTTTTCTTGGGTTGCCGCACTTCTTCTCTTTAGTTTATGTGCCTCTTACCACATCACTGATATGGTCTCTTTTACCGCAGTATGGTCACTGCTGTGGGCGCTTTCAGTGGAGAAGGCTGGAAGGTTAGGATCCGGAGGAAACATAACAAAAAAGGGAGAAAAAAAAACCCTTCATTTGGCCAAATCTGGCTCTTAATATATTTAACCAGTTCCAGAATTAGAAAGCCTTTCTGTACGTTTTCTTCTATTTTTCTCTTTTTTTCCTTACGTAATGAAATTAAAACTTTTGGAGCCCACAGTTGACATTTTTCAGAAAATTGAGTTATCAAGGCAGTAATTATTTCACGGGGAGATAAAACTCTCATAGCCCTAACTGTCAAATAGGGCCCTTTTCAGATTTTAATTACAAAATAAAATTAGTCTGCTCTTCCTCGGAATGGTTTGTGAGTGGTTAAACAGAGCTTTCCCCCCAATACTGGTGGTCGTCAAACTCTGCTAATTAGCAATGCTGAGAAATTCCAGTTAACAAGGACATTCTCCAAGACTCTGCAGGTTCCCTGCCGTTTGCCTTCATTTCCATAAGAAGATTAAGAGAGGAGGGGAACACACTCAAATGCAGATGCAGAAAAGAAGCGTTTTTTAACAAGCATCATAATAGTAAGATGCTTGGCTAGTTCTCACCTAATTACTGCAAGTTAAACCTCTATTTGCCACTAAGAAGAAAAAATAAGTCTACAGTCCCCTATCTCCACAAAATTGTTAGTTGGCTTCAGATATAATACTTGGGGAGGGATGAGGGGAGTTTAGGAGAGAAATACCAGTGCAAAAGATAAAACTGAGCTACACTTAATCAGTTAAGGGTTTTTGGCTAGGGCCTATATAATAGAGCAAAATTAAATCAGAATATCCTAGGAGTTAGGCATTTTTGTTCCTAATTTCTAATCTTGCTCTAAAAGGATGCAGCTTTTTGCTGCCCATGAAAGGGAAATGTTATACTTCCTTTAGATTAAGCACTTTAAATTTTCATACATTGTGCCAATGGCAACATTTTTAAATTCTTGAAGGATGAAGCACCCTCTTCCAAGTCTTATTTTGATTCCTTAGTAGTCAATGGTGCATTGTTATTAGTACTGTAGCCATCTGTTATAAACCTAAAACTGTGCTGCTTCTATCATCTATTGTGATTATTATAGTTATTATTATATTTGGGGCAAGTGATAGTGCCGGATTGAAATAGAGTGGCCGGTGATCTGATTTTTTTAATGCATATGTTCTAAAAAATCTAATGAGAAAATTGTTTCTGCTATCACCATCTTCTTTAATCTTATTTTCATAGCACATTATTATGCATAAATGCCAGCCACAGTTAGTTTATTGCCTTGATAAGTACAGCAGGCTTAATTAAAATAAAGCTGTAAATAAATGCAACCAATGATAACACAATTGTAATGTATTTCCATAGCTTATTTATATGATAAAAGCAATTAACAAAAGACCTAGCCAGCCCCTTTAACCTCTTAAATGCATTATTATAGAGTTCGGGCACAAACAGGCATCTGAGAATGTATAAAAGCATTTATATATTATCCCAAGGAAAAATTTGTGCCTCTTCCTACTACCCCTTGAGAGAGAGGGAGATTAAAAAATTTGCTACTGTAACCATTCGTTATTAAAATATTTATTTTAATACGTATACTCCACCATTATCCACATCAACCCCTTGGGTTATTTTTCTTCAGACTTAATTATCCATAAGCTTTTTTAAAGTTTTCGGAATAATGCTACTAAGCACAGACCAATGCATACACAATCATGAAGTGAATGCTTGGTCTGCCCTTCGTGGCATCTGGACAATCACAATTCATTCATATGTTGAATCTCATAATTTGTACCTATTTTTTCCCATAGTTTAACCTCCTACTTATCTGGAGGTTATATGTACATTTCTAAGTTAAGCAAATTAAATCTGATTCTTATGATTTGGTTCCATGGCTTATATGATATGTTAACTTTTCTTTTGTTTAGGTTATGTGTAATTAGTTGGATCTTCCTCCCATTCCCCTCATTTTTTTTTCCTTTAATTATTTCCAAACACCTTCTTTTAAAGGTAAAAGCAAAACTGTAGTCATGGAAAAGCGAATCCACCAGTAGGGGGCGCACCAGCTACATCCCTGAAACCAGACGCGCTGAAAAGCCAGCCTGTGGCTGCCGTGTTGTCTTCTGAGCCTCTAACCTTTTCTCCTTCCTCATGTCCATGTCTGTTTTTAGCTTAATAAACAGAAGACATTATTTTGTTTTGAAGAGTGCCATATATTTATCCGTTTCGAGGAGGGCAGTCTCACTCTTCCCGGGTTCCCGAGAACTAAAACAAACCATAACTTGGAGAAAAAGAAGAAACTGATGGGGGAGGGGCGGCTGATTGGAAATAATAATTTATAAAGAAAAGGATTCTTTTTCTCAACTTTTCTGGCTTTCCAGTGAGCATACTTACTTTGAGTTGGACAGGAACAGAAAAGCCTGGGAGGGCAGGGATTGGAGAAGTTGGAGGGGGGTGGTGATGGTTATGGGAAGAAGGTTAGTAAGGAACAAAACAATGCAAAGTTTTGTAAAGATAATAAATGGAACGTGGCCGACAGATACTATTCAGTACATTTTCTTAGGGTGAGTAAGGGTAGATAGATCAGGGGAGGAGGGGGCGGAGAGAGTGTTACAGAAGAAAGAAAATAAGTAACCCTGATGGTTTAAGCCCTTTATAAAAAAGAAATGGCATCAGGTTTTTTTTTTTCCCCCCACCCCCCACCCCCACCCTTTGTAGTCAAGTGCATTTTAGCCACAAAGATCCCAACAAGAGAGTGGAAGGAAACTTAGACGGGGCTTTGTTTGACTCCGTGTAGCGACAACAAGAGAAACAAAACTACCTATTTGTAACGGACGTGCTGCCATTGCTCTCCGCATTGAGCGCCTACCTATTGAAATCTTTACGTCAGGACAATGGGAGAGCGGCTAAAATTACCCTCTTGGGTCCTGGGCGGGCAGGATTCCTGAGCCCCTACCCCCGCCTCCATCCCATCCTCCTCCAGCCTCGGCCTTGCTGGGCTCCCCCCATGACCAGTCCTGGCCGTCTTCTTCCTGCCTGCACCGCCTGCACCTGTGCCTGGGGAGCACCACACCCGCCTCCCAGGCCTGGCGCCCCCTCCGAGCGCTGCCCCAGACCCGGGCGGCGCGGGCAGAGCGGCCACCACAGTACAAGTCACAAGGGGAATGGCAGGGCTGGTTCTGCTCGAGTCCTGGGAACTCTGCGTGGGAGGGAGTTTGTGAGTGCGGCCCAAATGCCACCTCCATACTGTGCCGTGGGATGCCAGGAAGTTGACGTTACGCTGCTCCGTAGCCTGCGCTTCTGAGCTTCTTCTGTGGATCTTTTTCTTCCCCCAGCCTCCTTTTGAAACCGGCCCAACTGAAATCCTGCTTTGGGGGAGGCTCAGGGGGAGAAGGGGGAGAGAGGACGAGAGTGGCGGCATCCTCTCTCCATCGACTGAATGGAGAAAGATGGTGGGCGACGTGGCTGGGGGTAAGGGGACAAGCTATGGTGTCCCGGCCCGAGCTGAGCTGGGCAGGGAAGAGCCGGCTCGCCGCAGCTTCCCCAGGCCCGGCCTCCCCTTAAGTGTAGAGTCGGCCGCATAGTCCAAGCAGGATTTATGCTTAAAACAGAGCAAACTGCGTGGCAGCAAGGAGGGTTTTGAGGACAGAGCTTTCGCTCCTAACTTCTTGTTGGGACTGTGTGAGAAAGGGGTGAGCCAGTGCCGGCACCTGTGGAGGAAGAGGGGTGAGGGGAAGAGCGACGTTAAGGAGAAGCACCGGAGAGGCTGGAGTTGGGGAGAAGCGTGCGGAGGAGCGAGAGAACAATGACACACCAACTCCTGCACCGCCTGCTTCCTGAAATACTAGTAGGACAGTCGCCCTGAACCACCCACTCTGCCCTGCCCCACCCCACCCCACCCCACCACCTTAGCGGCTTCTCGCGCCCCTTCCTCAACTCGGCGGCCCGCACCAAAAAGTAAATCAATACTAAGTTTGAAGAAGAAAAAAGATCGTAGTCTTAGTGCTGTTTACCCACTTCCTTCGAAAAGGCGTGTGGTGTGACCTGTTGCTGCGAGAGGGGATACAAAGGTTTCTCAGTGGCTGGCAGGCTGGCTG